GGCTCAGTTCAGTCTGTCACGCGTGTCGTTTGTGTTTCGGTGCAGTCTCAGTCCCGGCGTCGTCCGGGGCTCAGTTCAGTCTCAGTCCCGGCGTCGTCCGAGGCTCAGTTCAGTAACTCACGGTGCCGAAAGCACGTCGTTTAGCTAACCGTTTGTGACGTCTGTACGAGACGGTAAGGGGTCCACTCCAGCCATCCACCATGCGGGACGGGTCTTTGTGTTACACATTGTTTGTGTCCACTGGAGGTGAGCCAGCCGCTCACATTGTGTGTCTGTCTATGTCGGCAGGAGGGTGAACCACCTGCTGTGGACAACTACCGCGAGCTGCAGGGGGTGCTGGACGAGTCGCTGGACAGTGAGTGCCTGCAGACTAGCAACCGTCACGGCGGCCGATGGACGCTCAAAGCGGCCGGCGTGCGGTGCTGGGGCTGGAGCTGGGAGGACATGCGGTGCTGGGGCTGGGGCTGGGGCTGGGGCTCAGGCTGGGGCTGGGAGGACATGCGGTGCTGGGGATGGGACTGGGGATGGGCTGGATCTGGATCTGGAGCTGGGAGCTGGAGCTGGAGCTGGAGCTGGAGCTGGAGCTGGAGCTAGAGATGGAGCTGGGGCTGGGGGCTGGGGCTGGGGCTGGGGCTGGAGCTGGGGCTGGAGCTGGAGCTGGAGCTGGAGATGGGCTGGAGCTGGAGCTAGAGCTGGGGCTGGAGCTGGGGCTGGGGCTGGAGCCGGGGCTGGAGCTGGGGCTGGGGCTGGGACTGGGGCGTGGGCTGGGCTGGGCTGGGCTGGGGCTGGGGCTGGAGCTGGGAGGACATGCGGTTGCTGGGGTGGTAGGACGTGAGGTGCTAGGCTGGTAGGACTTGAAGTTTTTGGGGCTGGGAGGGTGTGAGGTTTTGGGCTGGTAGGACGTGAGGTATTGGGGGCTGGAAGGAATGACGCGAGGGGCGGGGGATGGGAGAACGTAAGGGACTGGGGGCTGTGAGGACATGTGGTGATGGGCTGGGAGGACATGCGTTGCTGGGCTGGGAGCATGTGCGGTGCTGGGGCTGGGGGGACTTGTTCAGTGGTCTGCGAGCGTTGTCGGTCGTAGTCACACCATTCCAGCGCTTCGGTGTGAAGCAGATTGCACACAGTCTGACGTTAAACTTGAAGGCGTCATGTTTCCTCACCAAGAAACGTCGTGTGCGGTGATGATTCGCCATTAGCGGAGGGCGCGGGTGTTGACCTCCACAGACTGATGGCTCCCGCGTCGTGAGCGTTTGCCGTCTGTATGTGTGCCGCGCATTACGCCTGCCCCGCCAGGCGCCGCTTTCACCGCGGTCTGGCTCCGTGACCCCAGTGTGCACCGGCTGGCGGTTCTGGTCGCCGACGGCAGCCGCGCTGACCACTGTGCGCTCGCCCGGCAGAGTGCGGTGACCGGTCAAGGCCAAGCTGGCCAACATCTCTCGTGCCGTAGCCGTGGACGACCTAGCCGCCATCGCCGAGGGCCTGCGGGACATACGGCGAGATCTGAACGTGCGTGAGCCCCACTTGCCTTCCCGGCCGCGTTTGTCGTACTTTGTTGTACTGGTTTGCCTTCCTTGTGACTGCCGAAAAATTATGTCATAGCGTATGTATCGTGGAATTGAATTTCCCATGCGTGCATAGTAGCGATCACTGTGCACGGTTCTGTGCGGCTGGACACAGTCTCGGTGATCGCACTCCAACCGTGAGCTGTATTTTCCACTCAGAAAAACCTACGTAGTACGTTGGCACCACGCTCTTACATAACATCGCGGCGTAGGTGCGAGCCCAAGCGCACGCCGATCCGCGACCAGCCCCCAGCGCCTGCGCTTCCCCGCGCTGCTCCGCGTCTGCCTGACCCGCCTGACCTGTCCGCGACCAGGCCACCAGCGCCTGCGCTTCCCCGCGCTGCTCCGCGTCCGCCTGACCCGCCTGACCCGTCCGGCCGGTCTTCGGCCGCAGGCTGATCGCCGACCAGACCCAGCAGCTGCAGGTGCGGGCCGACCAGCTGACGGTGGCCTACAGGGTTGTGCAGGCTGAGCTGTTCCAGCCTGCTGCTGCTGTGCAGCTCGCCGCCTGCCAGCAGCTGGAGCGCCAGTACAACCTCTCCCAACTGGCCGTGCAGAACGAGTTTCAGACAGGTGAGGGAGAGAGAGTGGGGTACTGAGCGACAAGGGACCTGATGTGCCAATGTGAGGGACTCGGAGGCGGCTGCAAAGAAGGAGGCAAACGGAAACGAAGGCAGGGACAAGTGCAGATAAACGAAGGGGACTCGAGACGGGTGCAAAGGGAGTGGGAGGCGATAATTTATACAAAAAGAGGGGGAAAGGGTGGAGACTTTGATAAATGCAGGAGCAGATAGGCACTGGACACGGAAATAGACACTGAAGAACAAACACCCTTAGTTTGTCCAAGGACTTCACAGGAACGCAGATGGTGTGTGCGGAGGGATGGGAGACGAAGACAGACGGACGGGGTAGCAAAGGATGTAGGAATGTGTTCAGGATGGGAGCAGTTACAAACGGCGCTAAGATAATTGCAGAGATGATGAGCACGCGGAGCACAAGAGTAGGAAGGCAGGAACAGGGGTGCGAGAAAATGGATACACAGGTGGCTTGGAGACGATTGTCGAGAGAACATGATAAACGGCACAGAGGCGTCTCAATAGAAGATAGAAATGTCTGGGTTCGGGAGACTCTCGGAGAGTGACAAGCAAAGGGAGCTGACAGGTAAGGCTCGTGTCTTGTGGTGTACGATGGGGACAGTATTGGCGATATTATGCCCGGACGTTTGAATCTCCAAGGGCGTTTTGTTTGCCGGTCGTGAGCTTCGTCTCTTTTCTCTTCTGTGGGCGATTCTGCTGATCTTAACCTTCGCACATGCTCCTTCAATCCTGCACTTGTTTCATGTACCTTCAAGTACCCCTTCTGTGCTTTCAATTTTGGTCTGTCTTTTCCTACCGTCCACATGTCGGGCACCGTCGCTCTCAGACTGTCGACTGCTGATCTAACTCATATGCGTGGAAATAACAGCGCCTTGCGGTCGCCGAGGGCCTTCCTCATCCCCCAACTAACCACCGCTCGGCCATGTTTCCAGTGGCTTGCTTACGACCTGCTGCCGAAGGTAACGTACTAACATCGCTTTATGGGCCGGTTGCACGAAAGTCACATGGTGGCCATAAGTCACGCCACCGTTACTGAGAACTAGCACGGCGTATTCCTGCACGGCGGTCCGCGCGCCCAGAAGCTGTGTAGTTTCGCGTGCCCACGAGCCACAACAGGCACGCTGAGTCAGACTCGAGACGCGCATGCTCATTAGCCGTAGTAGTGCGCCGCCGGCCGCTGTAGCCGCTCGTTCTACTCGCGAGTCGTCAGAGTCACGCCTGGCCAAGGCACCGCGGTTGAGCACGTTAACACGTCCGGTCACGCACCGTATCCGCGAGTCACTGTGGACGCGGAAGTCAGGCGTGCCCGGCCTGGAGCTGAACTTTGTTGGAGCTCGTCAGATACGGCTGCCTCGCTCTGCGGTCCAAGCGTCGCTTGTCCGTGGGGTACAGCGTGTAGTCCTCTGCGGCCCGAACGTCGCTTGTCCGTGGGTACAGCGTGTAGTCCTCTGCGGTCCGAGCGTCGCTTGTCTGTGGGGTACAGCGTGTAGTCCTCTGCGGTCCAAGCGTCGCTTGTCCGTGGGGTACAGCGTGTAGTCCTCTGCGGCCCGAACGTCGCTTGTCTGTGGGGTACAGCGTGTAGTCCTCTGCGGTCCGAGCGTCGCTTGTCTGTGGGGTACAGCGTGTAGTCCTCTGCGGTCCAAGCGTCGCTTGTCCGTGGGGTACAGCGTGTAGTCCTCTGCGGCCCGAACGTCGCTTGTCTGTGGGGTACAGCGTGTAGTCCTCTGCGGTCCGAGCGTCGCTTGTCCGTGGGGTACAGCGTCCAAGCGTCGCTTGTCCGTGGGGTACAGCGTCCAAGCGTCGCTTGTCCGTGGGGTACAGCGTGTAGTCCTCTGCGGCCCGAACGTCGCTTGTCCGTGGGGTACAGCGTGTAGTCCTCTGCGGCCCGAACGTCGCTTGTCCGTGGGGTACAGCGTCCAAGCGTCGCTTGTCCGTGGGGTACAGCGTGTAGTCCTCTGCGGCCCGAACGTCGCTTGTCCGTGGGGTACAGCGTGTAGTCCTCTGCGGCCCGAACGTCGCTTGTCCGTGGGGTACAGCGTGTAGTCCTCTGCGGCCCGAACGTCGCTTGTCCGTGGGGTACAGCGTCCAAGCGTCGCTTGTCCGTGGGGTACAGCGTGTAGTCCTGCGGCCCGAGCGTCGCTTGTCCGTGGGGTACAGCGTGTAGTCCTCTGCGGCCCGAGCGTCGCTTGTCCGTTGGGGTACAGCGTGTAGTCCTCTGCGGCCCGAACGTCGCTTGTCTGTGGGGTACAGCGTCCAAGCGCGCTTTTGCGGTCCAAGCGTCGCTTGTCTGAAGACTACAGTGTACAGTCCTCCGCGGTCCAGGCGTCGCTGTCTGAAGAGAACAGTGTACAGTTCTCAGCGGTTCAGGCAGACACTGATTTGCACGGGTGGACCGGCTCGACCCTGTGGTCATACGTGTGCTCGATTTTCAAGCGGTCTCACAGACATGCAGGCACTTGAGCTCACTTTATCCATGTTGTGTTGGTGATTGGCATGTGCTCTCTTCCAGTGTATGTCGACGTTGAGTCCCGAATGTCATGTCCTCTGTGTAACAGCTTTCCTCCTGAGTTCTATAGTAGGTACCATCTTTGAAATGCACATTTAGTTCAATCAGGGGATATGTTCTTTCAGATGCAAGTGATTAAGCATGGCGTTTTCTTACATAGCGGTGATGAATTGCATGAGGCTTGATTTCCTTGCGTTATTATCATTAAGTTTGGCACCAGTCTGCTAGGATCCGGCAGTTGTGTGGTCATGTGCCGTGATTGGCCTGCGTGCGGTCTCCACGGTGCTGGTGGATCAGTGTCTGGAGCGCGCTCCGTCCATCAGCACCTGCGCCATGTGCCAGTGTTTCACGGTGTGAGAGGCCTGGATGTCTTGGTGATTTCGCCTGAGACGCTCCGAGGACTAGCTGACCTGCGGTCGTGGACATTGGAGGCGTGCATGCCTTGTTTGAACCTCGGTGTCTATAGGTACCGTGGCTCTTTATATCTGTGTGACGTTGCATGAATTTCGTCCGCCAAAAGCAGATGGGTTCAACTAAAGTTGCATTCGATTTCAGGTCATAATGCTGCTTGCACGTGCCTGGTGTATAAGCTACCTGGTGCACAAACTAATGCCCCCATCATTCCAACCCAATGCTCATAGCTGTCATTACCTTGTCTTGTAACAAACATAGGACTGGCTCGCTGGCGCCAGACTGCTGACCGGCGGTGACCTGACCTGCAGATAGCGGACCTGGCCTGTGTCCGGTGCCTGTACAAATCTTCCACTGGCACCTCGCTGCGACCCATTGACCTGGCCCAAGCCGGACACAATCTCATTCATCTGTCACAGCTACTGTGCCCTCCCCCCCTGCTTGGTCTTCAGCTTATGGAGGCTTTGGCTGGGTCATGACCTGATCCTGACCTTAACGTAGTGGGGCCTCAATGGCTTGCTGCTGGCCCGATCCCTGCACTACAGCTGGCTGGCCGATCTCTGCATGACAGACTCTATAGCTGACCCGACCTGTGTTCAATGTAACTTCCCGTGGCACGTGGTGACCTGGCGTAACGTGGCCTGAGTGCTACCTGACCTGACCTGGCCTGACTTTGCGCTGCAGTTGCCGGACGTCACAAGAACGGCTCGCGAGATTTCCTCGCTGATCGAGAACGGCATCGAGCGAGAGGTGCGTGCAGGCAAACGGTCGTTCGACGAGCTGTCGGGCCGCATTCAGGCGGAGGTGGCGGCCGTCGTGCCAGAAGTGCGTCGCAGGATTGCCCAGGCCGGTGAGTTATGGACAGCTATTGCGGTTGCCTGACGTGTAGGCTAAAATGGCCGCCACGCTGCATGCTGTCTGTGGCAAATGGCTTTCAGTGGTCGTCATCACGGACTACGGCCTCAATCAGTGGTTATTGTGTGGGGGGTCGACGGTTTGTATTATGGGCAGCTACTGCATCTGTTTGACGTTAAGAGTCGCAATGATATAATTATTGTCTAGTTCAGAAGCACTTACCAGGCAAATGACGGACAGCTATTGCCCCCGCCCATTATCATATCTGAGTAAGAGCCCACTCATTAAAATCATTGGCTCTTCCGTGGAGCCATAAAGATCCTGTATCATTGTCGTCAGTGCGTTTTATTCTGGGAGTGCGGTCATCAATCCACTGCATTTCTTTGAAATACAATAAAGGCCTTTCGCAGAATTTCGCTACAGCTCATGTGGTTAGAGCGTCAGACATATGTGTGACTTCCAGGGCGAATCAACAGTTTGAGTCTGCATCCGTGTTAGAAATAGCGCGTACGTGGCTAGTCAAAAGACTGGCAACTGGTCAGAACACCGGGCTGCCCCACCATGATTGTACTGTGGCGCTGAAAGGCACGTCAAAGACCCTTTGGTACTTAAAGCTGTCCAGAAGTATGCGACAAAACTTGCAGGCAAAATTTAATATCTTAGCTGGGAAGGTGAGACCATGTTGTCTCTTCAGATAAGCTTAGCATAGATTGCAAAATGCGGGGCGCTTCATAGAAACGACGAACGCCATACATGATATACAAGAAAACCGGGTCAATCCAGTGAGTAACTGTTCGCTGCGCTTTCCGACATATGTTGATGGTAGCTGAACATAACCATTAAGCGCATCAAGCATCTCTTTTATAGGGTATCGCGACTTTCCTGCCGTCAGGGTTGTACAACAACAATCTGATAACAAAGCATGTGTGTTGGCATTTTACCAACATATCGAATGCACAAATTAAGTTTGCGAGTGCGGATAACGACGACGTAAACACACAGCAACCATCCTTTCGCTCCTCGAGCAGACTTCGTTCCTCTGCCTCCGAATTTCCGAGCATCATTCCTGAGCTCAACTTTTTCGAACTGTGTCAATGAGAGCCTGCGAGATTGCAGCCTCTGAGAAGGAGGTCTGGCCTCTCCATCGATCCGACTTGTTTTGGTGCTGCAGCGGCGGTGCCAGGCCACGGGCGCGACCATTCGTCGACCCCGGGGGCAGGCTCAGGCGGGCCGGCGGCTTTCTTCGTTGTTTATTCGGTGCAGCGGAACTGCGAGACAAAAGGGCTTTGTCAGGAAGAGCCGGGGGCTGGGCTTGGAGCGCTAGCGACCCGTGCCGAGCGCCGTCGTAACGAGCATACCACAGCCTGTGAATCGTACTGTGGCGGCCATAACGTGAAAATGCCTTTAACGAAGGACTTGCTGACTTCTGCGTAGTCTTTCAAACTAACTCTTGCCGTATGCGTTATGGCGGCGCCCCAACGACCCTTTGTACGGCGACTTGTAGTACCTGGAAACCCTTTCTGATGACTTCTTTGACGTCTTGACGGTGTGTCTGACGACATGACGTCGTGTCTGACGTAACGACGCTGTGTGGCGACTTGATAGACGCCGTGTCTGACGTTTTGACGCCGCGTTCCGACGTCTTGACGGCCGTATCATAAACGACTTGAAGGCCGTGACTGACGTCTTGACGGCCGTATCTGACTAACTGACGACGCAGTGGCTGACCTCCTGAGCCTGTGCCTGATATCTTGAACTGCCGTTTCTGACAGTCGTGTGCGCAGCGCCGCGCCGGTGCTACGGTTCCTGAGCGCAGACATTGTCAAGGCAGCCGCTGACGCTCCATAGAGGGGTGCGGGGTGACATGCGGCGCGCTCTCTTTAAACCAAAAAAGAAAAGCGTCGGCTTGACGTGTGTGATGCCTTGCCGCAGTGTGTATGATGACTTAACACAGCATACGTAACGACATGACGCCGCATTCTAATGACCTGATGACCTAGTGCACCGCCCGCCTGACGTCCAGCGGCGTGTGCGTGTGGGCTTGCGCGGCCGCTGAACCCCTCCCCTCCCCCCTCCCCGCCGTCGTCGGCAGGCATCCGGCTGCAGGACGCGGCAGCAAACATCTCGTCGGCACTGGACAGCGTGCGGCTGCGGCCGGCTCACGAGGCGCTGGACGAGGCCAACCAGTACCTGCAGCAGTACGGCTCGTTCAGGTCAGGCTTCGGCCGGGTCTCACGGGGCAGGTCTGTCGCGTGGGGCCGGCCCCAGTGTGGCAGCTGTCTCGCTGACGCGCGTGCGAAAATGACGCCCCATCCACGGAAGAGATGGTGGGGAGGGGCGGGCAAGCTCGAAGTTGTTCGCTTTCTTCAAGTATAGGAAGAGAACGGGTGTTCTGTCAGTGTCATTGCAACCCCACTTTCTGAGAATGCCGAATATTAACCTCATAGCGACGTATGGAAAGAATCGGCTTCGAAATTGTTGCTGACACCGTCACTTTCTGAGACTTTCAGTTCCACTGTCTTTGTTTCCCAGCATTGCCGTAGGAGAGAAGGGACGGCTGCAGAGGGGAGGTGCAGCCGCCTCCCCCGCCTCTCTCCGTTCTCGCTCTGTGCCGTTCACTGGTTCTGACGCGCGCCTACCGTGCACTGCTGCTCTTCTGTCAGCGGAGCTGTCCCTGCACTTGACACCCCGTGCACCGCCGTGGCGAGGCGCGCGGAACTGTCTGAAGAGTGGCCGGCGGGATCGTGACCTGCGACATCTCTCGGCGCCGCCAGGTACTATCTGTTCCTGATCCTCTCCGGCCTGGTGCTGATCGTCACCTTCTGCCTGGTGATGGGGCTCTTCTGCGGCCTCTGCGGCCGGCGGCCGGGTAACGTCTACGGTGACGACACGTGCAACAAGGGCGCCGGTGCAAACTTCCTGCTGAGGTGAGGCGACTTCTCTGCTCCTCTGCCCCCCTTTTCTGGGCCCCCTCTGGTCTGAGGCCCCCCCCCCCTCCCGCCGTACTACCTGGACGTGGGTCTCGCCGGCCGTGCGGTGAGAACGGACACGGGCTATTGTGGACTGAACGGCCCGCGTGTGGCGCCGCCAAGAAGTGCCAGCGGCGTGCCGTGGAAGGCTGAGGGCCACGTCGGTTGATGGTTTTAACGCAGCCAACTCGCTTCGTATTCCAGTTTAACAAGTGTGTTCGTTTGCCCGTGCGGCATCACAGCAATGTGTTGTAGTAATGCTTTGTGGTGCTCATATATGCGTTCTGGGTAATGCGATCTAATCTCACAACAAAGCAATGTAGCAATGCGATTGTAATCAGAGCATACCAGTTGTGTGTTAAAGTATGCTCAGGTACTGCGTGCACATAACATCATCACACACATACAACACATAACATCAGCGTGCACCTGGTTTACCTCAAGCCCTGTTGTTCTGGCGTCCTTTCGGCAGTGGTGACGCCTCACGGACGGTGGTTGCGAGAATAAGCTTTCCAGCCTGTGACACCCGTGTGACGGTTGTTCTTGCCGGGCCGGACATGACGTGCACGGCCCGCCGACAGCGCCACCTTCTTCTTCTTCCTGTTCGGCTGGCTGGTGCTGCTGCTGGTGACGGCCATGTTCCTGGTGGGAGGCCTGACCCAGTTCTACCTGTGCGCCGGCCTGGCCGAGCCGTCCTCGCCCGCCGGCGGGCCGGCGCTGCTCGAGGCCGTCTTCCCGGCCGACGAGCTGCTGCCGCAGCTGGCCGCCACCGGCTTCGACCTGGCCGACGTCATCAGGTCAGCAGCCGGGGACCAGGGGGGCCGGGCCCTTCATGCCTCCACCGACCCGCTGGAGGCATGGGGCTGCCTGCGGAGGGCGGGGTGGAGAGGTGCGGAGGTGGAGCGGGGATATGCTGGTCGGGACACGGTGTAGGTGTGTTCGACCTTCTAAGTGATGCCAAGAGTGAGTATAAACCTCTAGCTCAAAGGATGATCTGTAGGGAAAAGAGTCTTTCAAAAACACACACGCCGCGGTCAATCTGTGCTTCGTCATCGTGCCATGACGCTCCTGCAGGCTTTTTAACATGTTTCGTCGGACTTAGGAGTCATGCGGGTCCACAACGTGACGGTTCTTGGAGCTGCTGGCGAAAATCTGGAGACGGAAACTGGCTGCACTCATGACCGTCACTGGTTACTGTTGGTGCAGGAGATGTCACCAGAACCAGTCGATCTACACCGTGCTGCACCTGGAGCCGCTGTACGACCTCTCCGAGCTGGGCCGCTACAAACAGCAGCTGGGCATCGACGAGCAGCTGGATGCCCTCCGCAACCAGATACAGGTTGGCGGGCAACGGGGCTTCGTTTCCCACAGAGTCGGATACAGACCAGTGGACGGTGTGAATCGGCTGGGCTCTGCAGGCAGACACAGGCCGGGCGGCTTCAGTGCCTTGGTTGTATGCGTAGGCAGAGTTGCCGAGCGCAGATTAGTTGGTGCGGTGAAGTGGTTGCCTCGCACTTGGCACGCGTTAGTGGAGTGAAATGTGTTGCATTGGTTGACAATTTTTTATGTTGCCTGCAATCGTTGAAAGATGTATTTCAAACTTTTCGAATGGGTGGATTTGGGAGGTCAGAGCTCAGTCTGAGCAGTGCACGTTGGGTGACTCCTGTCCCTTACCATATGGTCGTGCAACTCCAGGTAAATGGCAGAGTTTGTTGCCGAATGTATAACATGCCGCAACGTTCGGCACGGTCTGTCCTGTGCTCTGACGTCGTCTTACCTTTAGCGCGACCGCTGCCACCGGCCGCAGGCTATTCCAGTCAAGGGCAAATAGCGAGCGCCTTTTTCCAAAAATTTTCCTAAATCTCGAGCCACCACCCAAAGCTTCAGACTATACGCACGCTTGTGCACGACAGGGACCATCCGTCGTACCTAGTCCTGTCTCGTGAGTTTCACGCCCGGGCTGGTCAGACCGGTGGGGCTGCTCTGACCTGTCCACTGGCGCTGAAGCCGCTGCCAGTCACGCCCCCCCCCCCCTCCCCTGTCGCGAGGGAACCCTCACCGGCATGACCCGGCCCTGCTGCAGGTGGACACCGACGTCGAGATCCTCACGCCGCTGGGTAAGGAGCAGCTGTACGAGCTGGCGCGCTCCGACGTCGCCCGCATCAACTACACCGCCTTCACGCTCACGGTGAGCGCCGCCCGGCTGCTGGTCGAAACCCTGTGGCGACCATGCGGCAACGGTTCTCTCAGCGAGAGCTGGTGACATTCTTTACTCTCGTTTTGCCCGTATCGCTGATGGACATTCCTGGTGTCCTCCCTGGAGGGCTTGGTGGATGGCCTTTGAATTGAATTTTGGTTATTATTTGAAATCTCCGAGCTGGCGATGCTGTTGGCATGGCCGGTGTCGGATGTGGCGGCGAGTTGCCTATTAAATTTCGGCAACCCTGATCTGGGTGGCGACGAGTTCTGACCCGGGCCCGGGTGGACCTCTTCCGTCTGTTTCTCAGCCGATCTTTGACCTTGACGGTGATCCCCTGATCTGGGCAGTGACCCCGGACCAGGGCGGTGACTTCTGACCTCGCCGGTGACCCATGACTGGAGCGGTGGGTCCTGGCCATGGCAGCGATTTCAGGTGGATGGTAACTCCTGACATGGGTGGTAACCCTGACCCTGGCTGACCCCCTCCCGTCCGTTGACCGCGCAGCTGGAGGACCGCATCACGGCCGTCGAGCTGGGTCAGATGGGTGCCGCGCTAGAGGCGGCCGCCAACCTGCTGCCGCCGGCCGAGCGCTCGGCGGCCAACCGGCTGCGCAACCAGGCCACCATCCTGGGCGCCCAGCAACTGGTGGTCGACCAGATGGCCGACATTGTCGTCTCGCTGAGGGTGAGCCGCGGCCCGCCGCGAGAAAACGAACCGGACTGGAGTCGTGTTCGCTGGTGATGACCGCGGGCTCGACACGGACCGTTGACGCTAGTGATACGGTGACCACTGTTGCTGTGGTGTCCATCGAGAGCTTTGTTTAGGATGCTGTGGATATGCGCCAACAGGGCCTACTCAGCACTGCCTCCATACATCTATCGTATAGCCAGAAGGTCGTCCCTTTGTCCAAAGCGTTCTTGTACATTTATGATGAACCGTTGATCTAGACACATCCTATGTCCATAATGCATCAGTCACTTCATGATAGCCTCGCACAACAATGTTCGTTTTTGTTTATGCAGTATGGGCGCTGCATGACTGCAGTTGACGCGCCCTTAAACTCTAAGCCACCACGGCTTGTTTCTAAAGCCGCCATACTCTGCGTGGTTAGTGGAGGCTCCCGATCCACATCGTGTCACTATCTTTTTACGTGTTGCCGCACTTTGTGGCTCTGACTGCTGAGCCAAACTGACCTTCTCCCTCCCGGTGGCAGAACGCCACCGTGTCGCTGCAGGAGCACGTGCGTTTCAACCGCACCAACGTGACGGAGGCCGTCCGGGAGCTGATCGACCAGGCCGGAGTCGGCGCAGCAGTACCTGCGCACGCGCGGCGGCTTCAGAAGTCATACAGGTCAGTTTCGGACGGCTCAGAAGTCACATAGGTCAATATCGGGCGACTCACAGGTCACACAGGTCGGTTCAAGGCGGCTCGGGGATCGTACAGCTTGGTTGGGTGGCGCGAAGTTATAAAGTTCTGTTGATGTGGTTCACAGGCCATCTAAATCCAGGCTCAACAGTCATGTAGTTCAATCTCTGACAGTAACGAATCCTATAGGCTGGCTTCGATGACCGAAAGGTCATATAATTCAATCCTGTGTTGCTTCGAGGTCATTCAGCTGCTAGTCTGAGGCAATCCGGTGCCCTCATTGATCGGGTCGTGTTGGTTCAGCAGAGCTCCCGCGGGCGGACTGTGGCGATTCCTTTCTCGACAGGGGGTCACATATCTGACCTCCGTGAGCTCGCAAGATTTACAAGAGGTCATTTGGCGGCGACAGTCATGCTCAAACAGCCCGAAGCCAAACCGTCTCACGTTTCGTCGTCTCCCGTCAGAGATGGTGACACCAAGTATGCAGATGATCGTGTGCGCGTATTGAGCGGGTGGCGTCAGCCGTCCCGGACTGACGATGTCGGCTCGTCATCAGCTGGCGGACGAGTACGCGGCCGAGTTCCTCATGCACCTGGACGAGTTCACGGCGCGCGTGGAGGGCGGCTTCCGACGCCGGCTGGGCCGCTGCGGCCCGCTCAGCACGGCCTACAACGCCACGTCCGTCACCCTCTGCAGCAACGTCGTCTACCCGTTCGTGAGTGCGGCTAGCCAGCAGGGAGGCTTCGGTGTTGAGTGGGATGTCGTGATATTTGACATCGCAAGCCGTGTGAAAGAGAAATGACACCCTTGACTATATGCAGATGAGCGAGGTGGACGTTTTCAGTGTGAATATTGGCTCTGCTACTTATTTAGTAACTTTATACTGATTGTGCTATTTCTGCCATCTAAGTAGAAGGTTGCTGCTTAAGTTTGATATGCCTGGCCCTTAACTGTAATTTGCTGTTCAACTTTGCTATGTTTATGTTAATGCTACGTGTATGTTTGACCATTTAAGTTCGTGGTTTGCCTAGTATCATTCACGGAACGCTGTGGTGGCCGTCTCTGACCGGATCCCCGGGTCTGTGTCGCATGTCGTGGTCGCTGTGTCTGAGCGGCGTGTCAGCTCCCTGACGCGAATGTCCGTTGTCCAGAACGGCTACTGGGCGTCCCTGGGCTGGTGCGTGCTGCTCTTCATCCCCTGCGTGATGGTCAGCCTCTGCCTGACTTCGCTCTAAACCGCAAGACGGAGCCCTACTCGGAGGCCTTCGTCGACAGTGAGCACAGAGAGAGGAAGAGAGAGAGAGAGGGGAGAGAGAGGGAGAGAGGGAGAAGGAGAGAGAGAGGGAGAGGGGGAGAGAGAGAGAGAGAGAGAGAGCAGAGAGAGAGAGAGAGAGAGAGAGAGAGGAGAGAGAGAGAGAGAGGGAGAGAGAGAAGAGAGAGAGAGAGAGAGAGAGACGAGAGAGAGAGAGAGAGAGAGAGAGAGAGAGAGAGAGAGAGAGGATAGAGAGAGAGAAGAGAGAGAGAGAGAGAGAGAGAGAGAAGAGAGAGGAGAGAGAGAGAGAGAGAGAGAGAGAGAGAGAGAGGAGAGAGAGAGAGGAGAGAGAGAGAGAGAGAGAGAGAGAGAAGAGAGAGAGAGAGAGAGAGAGAGAGAGAGAGAGAGAGAGAGAGAGAGATGAGAGAGAGAGAGAGAGAGAGAGAGAGAGAGAGAGAGAGAGACGTGAATGGCGTTGTCTCGGGACAGCCGGCAATGTGGTGTGCACCTGGTGGCGGTAGGGAGGCACGGTGTTGGTGACAGGCTGTGTTGAGCGCTGCCGTATTAATCCTGACTTTGCCGTCGCTAGTTGGTGCAACGCTACTCGCTCATGCTTGGATCCGGAGCTGTCTTGTGTGTCAAACAGCTGCGCTCTTTGAAAGGTCGATGGAGGGCCGCGCTTTCAAACGGGGGGGTGGATGATTTGGCGCGTGGCGCGTGGATGATTTGCGATTCTTCGGTGGCTGGGTTCGGAGAGGTTGCTGCTTGCCAGTAGTCTGCGTTGTCCCACGGCCAAACTCTTCTCAGCTTCTCCCGACAGTCCGCGTTCCAAGTCTCCGGTTTCTTAAAATTAATGACTTAACTGTACGTTTTCTTTGACAGGGTTTTTGCATGCTTCTCCTGTCCAAATGAGATGTAGTTGAAATTGCTTGCTTTTTAGCCGGTTCTTGGGCACGGATATTAGAAGTATTTTGATTGTGCTGGGATGGGGAGATCGCCCTGGGTCGTTGCTGAAAGCCATTTTTAAATCATTACTGCTGCTTTTTTATCCACCCTGAAATAAGTCGAGCGTGGAATAGACTGTCACATTCTTTCAGTATTCAAATAGGCTGTCACACTCCTTACAGAATGTGACAGTTCAGGCGTATTTGGTCACAGTACATTAAGCCTATGTGGCTTGGATATGGAGACGTCATTTGGTAACAAAGTGTTCCCTGCTCGTCTTGTGGGACAATCGAGGTTTAATGCATTACCATACTTGATAATTGTTTTACCATTGTATTTATCTATCCAACATGACAATGTTGGAAGGAAAAATAAATGCTTTGGAAGGCGAACGTAGAACACGATGTCACATTCATAAGACCACTGTTTCACCTGAAGGACTCGGGCGTGCTTTCAAAAGGCGGATGCAGAGATGATGTTCAAAGTGGCGCAGCTAGCGCAGTCATTCCCAAGGGCAGGGCAGGAGCGGGCGGCTAGCAGCCAGCCACGTGCAGTTGTGCTGTCGCTGTCCTCCAGCCTGGCCAATGGTGCACGAGAATGATGGCGACGATTGCTGCGCGCGCCGCTCGCTGCCGCCAACGCCTGCTCGCGTGCTGGACTGGCCGCCACCTTCACTAACGCATCCCCGTTTTCAGCGAATACTTATACGACGCTTATGGCGATCACGATAATATCCCCCTGGCGAAGTAAGTGGCGGTGTGGCGTGCACCCCTGGGCGCCCGAGACAGCGCGGGCTACTGCATGGCCTGCCTGCCTGCTTGCCTGTCCGCTCTTTGCTTTCAGCTGTGTGCTGGCGTAGTGACTATTCTCTGCGCATGCTGACCGCCGCGTGTTTAAATGAACAGGTTCGGGAGGCTGTTCGCGGGAACCTTCGGGCTTTGCGGCGATCGTTTTCCCTCATGGGTTCAACGAAGCGAATGTCGAACATGAATTTGAGGAAGCTAGCCCATTTGTGTTAGACGTGTTTGGCCTATGCTCTCACTTTTCTTGCCTTCACGCGGAGGTTGCGGGGATATGTTTCTGGCGGGCGGTCGTCGGTCGTGATGCAGGGACTATGTTTTGGCGGGCGGTCGTCTGTCGTGGTGCAGTGTTTTAGGACGCCCGTCTGCCGGCTGGTTTCAGGTATGGGTGACTGTTGGGCCTTCTCGACGTTAGGTATCTGCCAGTGTTGGTTGCCCCGCCTCACACCTGGTGTCTGCTCGCTATCCCTCCCCACACGCCACCGTTGTCTGTGGACTCGCGCTGGTGAACTGTTGGGTTTGCGTGTCCACCCGAGGACAGAGCTCGTTGGGGTGCTGCTTCACCGCCTGGCCGCCTCTTGCCCTCCCCCGCCTGCGCTGTGACTTACTCTTCCCTGCTTTTAGTGCCATGTCAATCCAATGTACTTAACGATGGCCGTCTGCTAAGGCGGTACTCAATGTTCCCCGCCTGACTAGCGTACAGATGGTGACGAAAACAATAACAACAACCTTGCCTGAGGCGGATAACCGGTCGGCCACGCTCAACTAGCCCGCTCCCAGAGGCCTGGACTTGTGCGCCATGTTGTGAATGCCGACAGTTCTGTGTGCAAGCGGACTGTTGTGGTGCCAGCTTATCCGCATGCCAGTCAAGCAATGGGATGTCGATCTCATGCCGACAGATCTGGCGCGAAGTCAAACTCCCAATTTGCTTTGATATGAACTAGACCCCGTTGCACACATACTTTTAATGGAGGGGTATCTGGTTAAATAAGCACAATCAACTGTCGGTGTTTCCAGCGCTCCCTATTCTCGCCGTATTCCCAAGATCCGATCTCGGGAGGCTGGACTGCCCGCTCCGTCGCCAGATGTCAGCCGCGTCGCTGAACGTCGCGCTCCTGTTGCAGTGTGCGTGATCAGCGCGGCGCCAAACGCGGCGCGGCCGCGGCCGGCGGCGGCGAGCGGCGGCGCGGCAACATGTACGAGAACAGCCGTTACCATGGCTACAGCCCCGACTCGCCGCCGTACACAGCCATTCCGCCGCGCGGCCAGCAGTTCCGGCCGCTCGGTGCCAGCGCAGACACCGAGGACACGGAGCCCAAGGCGCCGCCACTGTACGTACATCCGACCCACATCCGGCGCACATTCGGCTCACATCCGGCCCAAATCCGACATCAGGCTGCATGCGAATCTACTAACTCGGGGGAAGGATGTGTGCGTGCTCTTGAGGCAGTTGACATGCTTAAACATCCATTGGCCTGCTCCAGGGGCGATTTCCATGTAGGCTGCCATTCGTGGCCGGCGTCATGGTGGTTGAGCCTTCCCAAGCTCCTACCTCCCGATAGATCGAGCATATAATAAGGACAGGGTGCCTGTACGCGCGACCTGTTGTGGCAGCACTGCCGTTACGCTGACTGGGCGACAGCTCACTGCCGGCGAGCGGCACGCAGTTGGTGGTGCGGCCTGACGTTCCTCTGACCCGCCGTCCTGTGTCGGCCAGGTGGGACCTGAACGGGGGGCCGCCAGGATACACGGACAACCCCAGCGCCGCCAGCTATGACCGGCCGCCGCCCTACTTCTACCCTGGACCCGGGTGGGTAGAGCCGCGCCGCGCCTGTGTCGCCCGTGACGCCGCCGTGACGCCCCGAGCCGACATCTGTTACCCGGGGCTAGAGGGCCACTTCTCACGTTTCTTTCCTGAGGAAAGACGGATTGTCTGTTACCGCGCCGTGGTGTGGTTGGTGGACAAAATTCGTCGAGGGGCGACTCGCCCGTGATTTGGCGCCGAGAGCCTGCAGCTGTTGAATGTCTCATGAAGACTTCTTTGTAAGGTTCACGCCGCGTAAATTGCCCCTTTTCTCTTGAAGAGCGCTGCCAAACAAAATTGGTCCTCTGAGCGTTGAGCTCGCGCCTCGGCGCTGGCTCGCGTAGCTCGCGCTGTGGCGCCGGCTCGCGTAGCTCGCGCTGTAGCGCCGGCGGCCGAGTCGCCTGGTTGCACCGCTGCCGACTGTAGAGGGGTCTGTTATCTCTCAGTGTGGCCGGGGAACAGGCAAGAACCAACTGGAACGCCATGCTGCGGCGCTTGGCCGGAAATCCCGACCAGAGCCATCTATTGTTGGCCCGGCAAACTTCACGTTCCGTCAGCCCCGCCCACTTATGAGCTGGATCAGGTGCGCGGCACGCTGCATTTTCTACCGGCCTGGCCCGCCTGTTCTGCTTTGTACCAGGCGTCCCCGCGCTGCATGTTCTCCCGGCTGCCGCTGGCGCATGCGCATATGCCGTGCCCGAACACGCATGAGGGAAGCGAGCAAGGGACCTGTTCTGATTATGCGCGGTTATCCCGTCTGTTGTGCTTTGCAGATTCAGCTTATGTTGATGCTGTGTTGATATGCTCGTTGAAATGCGAAGAAAGCGGTATATTTAGCCATGTATTTGGACAGCCATTGTTTGTCATATCATGCAAGCAAAGCAGCAAAGTCCCCTAATACTCACGTACACCATGCTTGACCTTAATTCAAATTGATACGTGATAAGCCAGTGATCGATGTGATGCCATCAAATTTGTTGTCCGCCTGTTTTATGGTGAGCACGTGACTCTGTGGCAATCTCGCTGAGCTTGTGCGATCCCCGTCGTCTCGTGGGTGACCTTGGCTTGGCCGCCGCCCAGTGCCGGCGAGCGAGTCTCCCTGCGGTCGTACGACTCGCACCCGTTCTTGGCCGCCGCGCTGGCTGACTCTGCGTCAGACTCGGAGTCGAGCCAACCCAGTGCGTTCGGCTCGGGCGAGGCCGCGGGCGGTACACCGGACAGTGAGCGGACGTGGTGGACTAGCAGAACCGTAGTCTAACCTGCAGCTACCCGGCGTAACGAAACGACAACTCTAGATGTCTCCACCTGGCAGGGGCGTAGTTCTGCAAACATTCGGGAGGCTGAGGCTGGCGAAAATCACTGGCTAAGTCCGATCTCTTCTTGGATGCCGTCCATTTACCTTTTGACGTCAGGCGGGAGGAGGAGTTACAGTG